TTTTTTTTTATTGGGTGGCTCTATGCCACCCTCTCGTTCCCCTAACTTATTCTACGTCAGGGACCTGGGGTGCGGGAATATCTTTATTTCTTTATTATAATGTAAAAAAAAATCAATTTACAATAAACTTAAATTAATATCACATCCGTTACCTTACTGCTAGTTTAAAACGTTAAAAATAAAAGTGTAATAATAAAAAGGTTAAAAAAACAATATCTATGTACAGTTTAAAACAGTTAAAAAATTTCAATAAAATCTATATACAATTTAAAATTTCGTTTAAAAACCAATATCTATATACACTTTAAAACCAATAAAAATAAAATCCAATAATATAAAATTTTAAAATTCTAAAACTAGTGCAATAAGGCAGGTTAAAAACAATAAAATCCAATAATACAGAATTTAAAATACTAAAACTAATGCAAAAAGGCAGGATAAAACAATAAATACTTACAATTACGAATGTGATACAAAATAAATTACGTCTTATTCCTATTTATGGCTAAGAGGGCCGACGCTTTGCAGTACTCCAAAAATCTTTCTCGTGTTTTCTTACTTCCTACTAATTCACTAATTGTCTCGATACTAATTTTACTTTCTAATTCTATTTCAGCGCCGGCCCTCATCGCACCAGATACCGGGCACTCAGTGAGAAGGCTGGGGGTAGGTTAGGTTAGGTTAGGTTAGGTTAGGTTCGTCCGGGGTGCGGTGGCCGGTGACCTCCTCGTGGTGCACCCTGGAAACTCCCCACCTTCTGTGGGGAGGCTAACAACCGGCCGGGAGGGGGATAGTGTTCGCGGGGCTATACCGGATAGGGCTTCCCATACCGGGCAGGCCCGCGAACACTATGGGGCTCTTACCAGGTCCTGCGCCTAGCGCAGGCCCTGGTCAGGGCCCAGGCACGCCCATTGGGCGGTGCAGGGCGCGGCGCGCACCGAGGTGCCGCTGTGCGGAGTGGAGGGGTGTTTTCCGCGGGGCTATGCCGGACAGGGCCTCCCATACCGGACAGGCCCGCGGAAAACACCAGTGGACCCTTAGGGGTCGGAGGATGGCGGCCAGTAGGCCGCGCGTCCTGGTTTGGGGACCTCACCCCGTAATAAAGGCGGTTTCCGGTGTCCGACAACACTGGAAACCTATGGAAAATGGCAAGCTTTAAAACTGACATACCCCAGGAGGGTACCTCCAGCATTGCTGGAGGAGAATCCCTCCCCGCGGCCTCGGCCGCGGGCAGCCCCTCGTATTCTGGG